TGGTACAAGGCTATTCACAACGGCCTTGTACCATGTGACAAGCTGTGACCCACAATCACAGATCTGACAGTATTCCCCCTCAATGGCTGCAAGAATGCAGCCAGAGAGAAGGAGAGATGATGCTTTTACAGCCTTTATGGCTGTAAAAAAAGTCTTCATCACCCCCCACAAGTAGTACAGTGTCATTATGGTGACACTGTACTTGATAGGGTGACAGTATGTTAAAAAAAAAATTTTGGTTATAAAAAACTAATTTGAGTTATTTCTTTTTTTTTATACAAAAAAGATAACTGAATACATTTTGGCCAAGATTTATGAAGAAAGATTATTTATTTGCAAAATTTTATAAGAAAAACACTTTTTTTCAAAATGTTTGGACTTTCTCATTTATATAGCAAAAAAATAAAAATCCCAGTGGTGAATAAATACCACCAAAATAACGTTTTATCTGTCTCAAAAAAATGCTAAAAAACTTATATGGATAGTGTTGCATGACCGCGCAATTGTCATTCAAAGTGTGATAGCACTGAAAGCTGAAAATTGACCTGGGCAGGAAGGGGGTGAAAGTGTCCAGACTTGAAATGGTTAAAGAAAAAATTTCCCCCCTGCTCCTTTGAATTTTCTCATCACTGTGGTCGAAAATGAACATTGATTTGATCCCATCAACAATTAGAAAATCGAACGAACATTCTTAAAATGAAAATGTTTGTAAATATTGCTTTTTGGTGAAATGACACTTTAATGGGACGCTGATAAAGGAGAATGAAATAAAGAGAAAACTAAATATCTTTTTAAATCAAGTTAGAAAATGACGGCTGGAATTCCATTTGTTGCTGCATTTGACATTTGAATTGTATACACTGGCCCCTATTGCTCTCAGTGATCCATAGATATCAGTGTAGCGGCATCTATCATCACACAAGTTACGTCACACGGCAAGACTTTCCCATGTCAGCAGACCATGAGAGGCACAAACAATGGACCTTCAACTCCCTATGTAGTCTACATCATGAGTCACATCATATGTTTTCAATCTGCCTCCCTTGTACTTTAACCCCTTGCCTACAGGGCACTTATACCCCTTCCTGCCCAGGCCAATTTCCAGCTTTCAGCGCTGTCACACTTTGAATGACAATTGTGCGGTCATGCAACACTGTACCCATATGACATTTTTATCATTTTTTTGAGACAGACAGAGCTTTATTTTGGTGGTATTTAATCACCTCTGGGATTTTATATTTTTTCTTAAACAAACCAAAAACCACTGAAAATTTTGAAAAAAAAAGTTTTTTCTTAGTTTTTGTCATACAATTTTTCAAATAAGTGATTTTTCTCCTTCACTGATGTGCGCTAATGAGGCTGCAGTGATGGGCACTGATAGGCTGCACTGATGGACACTGATAGGTGGCACTGATGGGCACTGATGAAGAGGCACTGGTAGATTGCACTGATGGGCATTGACAGGCATCACTGATGGGCACTGAAAGGCAGCACTGATACATGACACTGATACATGACACTGATATATGGCACTCATAGGCAGCACTGACTGGCACTGATAGGCGGCACTGATAGGTGGCACTGACTGGCACTGTTAGGCAGCACTGATAGGCGACACTGACTGGCACTGATAGGTGGCACTGATTGGCAGCACTGATAGGTGGCACTGACTGTCACGGATGGGTGACATTGAAAGGCAGCTCAGATGGGCACTGATATGTGGCATTGATGTGGCACTGATGGGCACTGGCACGTGGCACTAATGAGCACTGACAGGGGGCACTTCTGGGGCCACACTGATCATCAGGGCACACCGATCATCTGTGCCCTGATGATCAGTGTACATGTCCCCTCTGCAGAAAGCCGATTACTGGCTCTCCTCTCCTCTGTCAGCGTGACAGCTCGAGAGGAGAGAAATGCCGATAACTGGTATTTCCTTATTTACATGGGATCAGCTGTGATTGGACACAGCTGATCACATGACCGCGCCGACATCTTCGGCTCTTTCCGTGATCCGCTGTGTCCGAGGGACACAGTGCACCGGCGATCGCCGCGCTGCGTGCTCTCTGAGCCGCGCATGCGCAGTGAGATTGGTAGGACATCATATGATGTCCTATCAGAACAAGAGAACCACCTTGCGCCCGTCATTGTACTATAGAGCGGGCGGAAGGTGGTTAAATATCCTGGATAAGCCTGAATATATCCACTGATAAAAAAACCTATATAAAGCGGTATTAAACCCAAAATTAAACATTTATTATATTTCAGCTTACCAGTTCTTAGATGTGATGGCTGCATTCATTTTCTTTTTTTGTACTTTCTTCAATTTACATATGGGGCTTCAGCTAGAAAATGTGTTGTTCTTTCAAAAGTACGAGCTCTCCAGCAGAATGTATCAGTTTACATAAATAAAACAAAATACATTATTATTATTATTATTATTATACAGTATTTATAAAGCGCCAATAGTTCGCTCAGCGCTGTACATTACAAAGGGGGACAGAACATGTGACAGAACAATACCAATACAATGTGATACACGAGGGGTTCGAGGGCCCTGCTCTTTCGAGCTTACAATCTAGGAGGGAGGGGGTGGTGGCACAGGAGGAGATAGCTGTGGGGGATGGGGTGGTAGGAAGAGTGGAGGAGGTCGGCAAGTTAGCAGGGGGTGGGGTAGGCTTCCCTGAAGAGATGGGTTTTCAGGGTGCGCCTAAAGGAGAGAAGAGTAGGTGATAATCTGATGGGTTGGGGCAGGGAGTTCCAGAGGATGGGTGACACCCTGGAGAAGTCCTGGAGGCGGGCATGGGAGGAGGAGACCAGGGAACTAGAGAGAAGGAGGTCTTGTGAGGAGCGGAGTGTGCGTGCTGGGCGGTACTTGGATATTAGGTCAGTGATGTAGTTCGGGGCAGTATGGTGGACAGCTTTGTACGTCAGTGTTAGGATTTTGAATTTGATCCGTTGCGCAATCGGAAGCCAGTGGAGGGATTGGCAGAGGGGGATGGCGGAGACGGAGCGGTTAGAAAGGTGAATGAGTCTGGCAGCCGTATTCAGGATGGACTGAAGCGGGGATAGCCAGCGGCGAGGCAGGCCAGTGAGGAGGGAGTTGCAGTAGTCGAGTCGTGATATGATGAGAGAGTGGATGAGCTGTTTAGTGGTTTCTGGGGTTAGGAACGTGCGGATTTTGGCACATAGCACTGGCAGGAGCGATTAAAATGATCAGCTTTTATTTACGTTTATCCCAAAAGAAAAAATAAACTGTTTGCTGTAACTGACTATAAAGTGTGAGCTGGAGTTTTCCTTCCATTTGTTAGTGTATTTAAATCTGCTAGTACATCTAACCCTCCCCTCCTTCCAGACTGACAATGCTGCTGTCTGCTGTGCCTCCAATCTCATTCCTCCAGAGTTGTTTCTCACTAGGCTCCATGCACACTTGGCATTTTAATATATGTATATATTTAATATATTTAATAATGTGAGTTAAGGACCTTACATTGTACACCCCTTGAGGGTTAGGGACTGATGTGAATGTACAATATATATGTAAAGTGCTGCGTAAATTGACAGCGCTATATAAGTACCTGAAATAAACAATTGAAAAAAATATAATAATGCTGGTAGTGTTAGCTCTGTAAAGTCAGGTTAAAAACGCTTTTCAATGTTTTTAGCATTTTTGAATTAGCGTTTAGCTGCGTTTTTTTCTGCGTTCGCATTTTTAACCTTTTTTACACAAATAAATAAAATTTGTGCTGAAAAAAGCCTAAAACGCCTGTTTGGCGCATTTTACCGCGTATTTCAGTGTTAGAGTGTTTTTACAGCTAAACACTCCTCTAGAAACCCACTAGTCCTCGGGGTATTTTCCAGCCAAAAAAATGCTGATTAACCCTTCGCCTACCGGGCACTTATACCCCCTTCCTGTCCAGGCCAATTTTCAGCTTTCAGCGCTGTCATACTTTGAATGACAATTGCGCGGTCATGCAACACTGTACCCATATGACATTTTTATAATTTTTTTCACACAAATAGAGCTTTATTTTGGTGGTATTTACTCACCGCCGAGTGTTTTATTGTTTGTGTTATAAAACAAAAAAAGAGCAAACATTTAGAAAAAAAAGTTTTTCTTTGTTTCTATTATAAAATTTTGCAAACAGGTAATTTTTCTCCTTCACTGATGTGCATTGATGAGGCTGCACTGATGGGCACTTATAGGTGACACTGATGGGCACTGATAGGCGGCACTGAAGAGGTGGCACGGATAGGCAGCACTGATGGGCACTGATAGGCAGCACTGATAGGCGGCACTGATAGACGGCACTGATGATGATGCACTGATATGCAACAATGATGGGCACTGATAGATGGCACTGATGGGCACTGACTTTTGAATTTGAAAACAAATCAAAGACTCTGTGTTTTAGTAGTTAGAATATAGGTGTTTTCCGAAATTTTAATTTTGAAAAGAACAGAATAAAACAGAATAAAATAGAATGGAATAGAATAGAAAATAAAAGAACAGAATAGAATAGAAAATAAAGAAATAGAATAAAAAATAATAGAATGTATTAGAACAGAATAAAAAGAATAGAATAGAAAGAATATAGATGCCTTCCGAAATTAAATTTTTTAAAAGAATAAAATAGAATAAAACAATAGAATAGAAAATAAAAGAACAGAATAAAATAGAAAAGAACAGAACATAAAGAAATAGAATAGAAAATAAAGAAATAAAATAGAAAAGAATACAGTAAAACAGAGCAGAATAGAATAGAAAAGAATAGAAAAAAATACAAAAGAATAGAAAAAGAATAAAATAGAATATAGTCGCCTTCCAATATTCGAATTTTGGAAAAAATAAATTAAAATAAAACAGAATAGAATAGAAAGGAAAGAATTGTGTAAATCTGAAAAGAATAGAAAAGAATACAATAAAATAGAATATAAAGGAAAATAAAAGAATAGAATAGAAAAGAATATAATTGATTAGAAAAGAAAAAAACAATAGAATAGAAAAAAAACAATAGAATGAATAGAATAGATTAGAAAGAACGTAACTATCTTCCGAAATGCGAATTTTGAATAGAATAAATTTGAATTCGAATGCAGATTCAATATTTTTGATATGACCGAATTTGAACGCAAATTAACAAAAGGAATTCCGAAAACAAATTAAATGAATTTAAGGAATTTAGCTAAACAAAATTATCTAAATAAAAAATTAAAGCAAAACATTTTTTTTTTGTTCTGCACATTTTTATGGATCAACTGGTGAAAATAACAGGAAAGAAAAGCAATGCACCTACCACATCTAATGATTAGTAAGCGGCAGTATATTACAGTTCTCCCTCCCACCATCCATTGTCATAGCCCTCTCCTTTTCTGGGCATGGCTAATTACTGTTTATGCTGGCCCAGCTACTTTGCCCCTCCCCCCAAATCCCTACATAGGGTTTTCAACTTTTCTGGTAAAAAAATACCGACTCTCTGGTCCCCTTTCTATTGATAACATTGGCAATAAGTCCAGTTTTTACCAGCTAGACGGGCAAAATTCTGGGCAGGAAGCAACAGTTGCTTCCTGTATAACCTTTTATGTATCTGTAGGGAGGAAATACAAGGGAATAATCCAGAGTCGTGGTGTTGAAACCTAAAAATTACTGGTGTGGCCCCAAGACTAGTGTGGCCCCCCAAGACTAGTGTGGCCCCCAAGACTTCCAGTGAGCCACACAATAGCAGTGCATTTTTGTCCATTGAGATGCATTGTGTCAATTTAGGCAGCCAATTCAAAATAAATGGGTTCTAATTCGCCTCAACACCCAACAATTTTGGTCCTGCTGCATTTTTTGAACTGTACTGCATTGGATTATGGAGTACAATAACCTCCAGCATTGGTGTCAGTGGATGCAAGAATAGCCCTCAATATATTAGTGTCACTAAGTTGAAAAATAACCTCCCGCATTGGTGTCAGTGAGTGCAAAAATAACCTCCAACGTTGGTGTCAGTGAGTGCAAAAATAACCCCCAACATTGATATCAGTGGAGGCAATAATATTCCCTCAACATCGGTGTCAGTGAGTGCCAGGATAACCCCTGTCATTGGTGTCAGTGGTTGTAATAATAGCCATCAACATTGGTGTCATTGGATACAATAATAGCCCTCAACATTAGTGTTTGTACGTGCAATAACTCCAACACTGGTGTCAATGAGTGCAAGGATAACCCGTCATTGGTGTCAGTGGTTGTAATAATAGCCATCAACATTGGTGTCAGTAAACACAATAATACCCTTCAAAATTGGTGTCAGTGAGTGCAAAGATAACCCTGTGATTGGTGTCAGTGAATGTAATAACCCCCAACATTGGTGTCAGTGGACAGAATAATAACCCCCAACATTGGTGTCAGTGGACCCAATAATAACCCCTAACATTGGAGTCAGTGGATGCAATAATAACCCCAAGCATTGGTGTCAGTGGATGCAATAATAACCACAAGCATTAGTGTCAGTGGATGCAATAATAATACCTAACATTGGTGTCAGTGGATGCAATAATAACCCCAAGCATTGGTGTCAGTGGATGCAATAATAACCCCAAGCATTGGTGTCAGTGGACCCAATAATACCCCTAACATTGGAGTCAGTGGATGCAATAATAACCCCTAACATTGGAGTCAGTGGATGAAATAATAACCCCAAGCATTGGTGTTAGTGGATGCAATAATAACCTTCAATGTTGGTGTCAGGAGACACAATAATAACCCCCAACACTGGTGGCAGTGAGTGCAATACTAGCCCCTGGCACTGGTGTCAGTACTATTAGACCCCCCCATCTAGTGACCAAAATGCAGTAGCCAGCATTTTCTCATTGAGTTAGTTCAGAAAACTATACCGCATTTTGGCCACTAGATGGAGCAGGCAATCATAGGAATTCATCTACAACAGACATAAACAGATGCATAAGGCAGGTCATAGACGAATCAAAATCCAAACAATTGAGAAAAAAGTGAAAATAGTTAATTTGATTGCCATCAATTGTTCCGTTTTGTCTAATAAAAATTATATTGGATCGGGCACTTTCAATAGCAGCAATTTGCGTGTCACAGCTGGTATACCAATGATGCGAAAGACAAATGATGCAAAATTTCCGTTCAGCTTTCGCTTTGCCTATGGCCTGCTTCAGTGATTGTTCAAGCTGGGAGGTCCAAGATAAAGACACTTTGTATTTTCATGCATGCAAGGTCCATTTTAATTTTTTTAAGTTTGCTGATTTTTAATTGCAGTTCCTGGTCCACATAAAATCTGAATGTTGTGAGACTTGAATGATATATATATATATATATATATATATATATATATATAAATATATATATATATATAAAAAAAAAAAAAACTCTTACTTGGTACCAGTTATATAATTGCTCTTGAAAATCCCTTCCGGGACATTGAAAATAATAAACTTACACTGGGTGAGCTCTACAAACTGAGGTATATATTGTAAATAAAAAATCCATGCACTATTATATACAAATAATTCTTTAATTCTCCATATTAAATGCAGAGTAGTTCAATGGAAATAACAAAAAAGTGTAAAAATGTATATACAGATATACAAATATGCAAAAGGAACATTAACCCACCTGCTCCTGAAGTGTCTATATGGTTACATTTCTGTATAGAACCCTTCTTGCTTACAGAGTAAAGTAGCATTTTTTTTTTTCCCCCGTTGTGTATTTGTTGTACCTACTTGACTGCAAGCCCCACAGAATTAAACTGGTACAGAATACAGATTGCGGAGTTCCCTGGGGGTGTGACTAAGGATGCTCAGGGGCGGGCTTAGCCAATATTCCCATGTGTGCCTATCCAATGTGTTACTGCATTACCCAAAAACCAATAAAAATCATTGCCTACATTTTTGGTCACTTGCTCTGACCCACCCCTCCCCCCCACACTCCGTACAATTGGTCAGTCGCTGCTATTTACTGCCACACTAGTTAATATTACGGCTCATGACCTAAGAGGGGGGGGCAGAACTACTACAAGCATTAAACACCACAAGTTTCATGGGCACTGGGGTGCTACACAGGGGATTACAGGCAATTTGGGCACCTCTAGCTATCTGGCATTAAGGCCCCATTCACACGATGGCATTTTGAACCGCAGGCAAAATCGCAATGATTCTGCCTGCGTTTTTAAAACGCTTTACTAAAATAGCAAATCGCACAACAGCATGTTCAGGTGCCATTCATTTTAATGGCACCTAAAAACACGGTGCGGTTCTGCAGCGATCATCACATAAATCTCGTTGCAATCGTGCAACAATCATGCAATGATAAATCTCGCTGCAATCGTGCAACAATCATGCAATGATCATGCAAATAAATCCCGTTGTAATCGTGCAACAATCATGCAATGATAAATCTCGTTGCAATCGTGCAACAATCATGCAATGATAAATCTCGTTGCAATCCTGCAACAATCATGCAATGATAAATCTTGTTGCAATCGTGCAACAATCATGCAATAATAAATCTTGTTGCAATCGTGCAACAATCATGCAATAATAAATCTCATTGCAATTGTGGCACAAAGCATATTCCTGAACTTTTTTGGCGATACATTTCACGCGATGCGATTTGCTGTGATTGCAGCGCAATTTATCATGCAACAATCGTGGCAGAACAGCACCGTGTCTTTAGGTGCCAATAGATTGAATAGCACCTGAACACGCTGTTGTGTGATATGTTATTTTAGCAAAGAGTTTTGAAATCAAATGAGATTCTGCCTGTGATTCAAAACGCCATAGTGTGAATGGGGCCTTAGGGTTTTTATTTTTTTTTCCCCCACAGAGGACGGTGGCTGGAATTAATACAAAAATGTTAAAACACAAAGAACAGTTAAACTCTTTTTAAAAGTCCTCTCAAAAATATGCTAAATACTGTAACCAGTAATACTTTGAAAGCAGGGGCGGACTGACAACACATGGGGCCCCCGGGCAATAGGGGATCATGGGGCCCCTGTGTCCTTGCCCAAACTCAAAAAAGCCTATGAAAAAGGTACCAGGGGCATCTCATGGGACCCCTTACTGACCCCGGGCCCCTCGGGCAGTGCCAGAGTTTCCAAATGGTCAGTCCGCCCCTGTTTGAAAGTGTAGAAATATGTTAGAGAGTCATATGCCACCCTATTGGTTAATACTCCTGTGCATTATTATAATGAACGTACTATCAGATTCATGGTTTAAAATGTAACATTGATTGTATTATTATTTTTTGATTATTATTGACAATTAATTTTTTTTCACATTAATTACTATTCATCAGCAATGGATATTTATTAGCATTAATAAGGGATCCAAAAAGAAAAAAAACCTGTGAAGTTGTCGGCC